ATATTAAAAATTATGTACGTTTAATAAACCATAACTATTTTTTCGTAACCTTACAAAGCTGAACAAAAATTTACTTTACTAAACAGCTGTTCAAAGCTAGTTTAATCTTAACTGTCATAGTTGAAAATATTAGATTATAAAAAAAGCGTTTGTAGTCAGGAGAAGATTAGACTAAATATTTGATTTACAAAGTTTTTATTTGGTTTAAACTTTTCAACTGCTAAATGTCAAGCAAAAAAAAAATTTTTAGCATAAGCATAAGCACTAAATACTGTAAGTTAAACTATTGTCAATAAAACGTTTTTCTTCTATAAAATTTGAAACTAATTGTTTTTTTTCTCCTTCTTTCTACAGTTTATGCATATTTAAGAATTAGACAGTACTGTCAACTTAGTTTATAGTTTTGCTGTAGCCTTATTGATTACGTAAATAATAATACTTAAAGTAATAATACAATAAAAAATATATTACATAAATAACAGCAAAAAAAAGGAAAAAACTGAAAAAAATTGGCGATTAGAGTATATATAATTAGGTAAACGATCTAAACGATTAACGCTCAAACAAAAAAAGATTTTTTTTTTTCCTGACACTGATAATCAAAAGTCAACAAGACACTGATTTGCAGGAAAAAAAAAAATCCAAAAAAGTTGTCAGTTTATTTAGCTGAATTTACTTTAAAAAGAGGAGTTTTTTTTTTTCAAAAGATTAGAAGAAAATCTATCTATAAAAGAAGAATTGGTTGATTTTCAAAAAAACCCTAAAAATCAAACAATGTTTTGGATTCTCTTGATTGTCGTAATTTTTGCTTCACTATCTGAATGTAATTCGTCAGGTGAACCATAAAAATAGTATTTTTTTTTTAAATTACCTTAGCAAAAGTTTTTTGCTACGGTTGTATTGAAACAGTTTTAGAAATTGTGAAATTGTTGTAAAAAATTTTCAAAACTTTTATAGTTAGTTTACTTGTAAACTAACTATAAATTTGATAAGTGTTGATTAGTGAAAAGAAGAAAAAAAAAGCCACTTCTTTTGAGTTAACTGTAAGTCGGCGGCGGATTGCGAAGCTGGTGAAAGCTGCTTGGAATTTCTTGGTGTTTGTGTCTGCTATAATGAAAGTGGAATTATACCGCGGTGTGGTGGCGAAGAAAAATGTCTGAATGGAACCGGATGTGTATGTGGTCAAAACAATCAGAAATGTTTACCGAATTTTGCCTGTAAAGGTGGAATCTGTTTATGCAACGGTAAAGAATGCAAAAGCGGTGAAAGTTGCAGTGGTGAAATGTGCAAATGTGGTAATAACCCTGGATGCGGTACAGATGAGAAGTGTGAAAATGGAAAGTGTACTAAGCTGTCGCCAACAGAATCTAGTATGTCAAGCATATCAGAAAAATACAGTTGAATGAATGTATTAAAAATTTTCTTCTTTACAAAAGTCATTAATCAAACATTAGCAAATTTGGTATTACTTAAGAAAAAAAAAAA